TGAAATGTTTTATTGCTAACTTTTCATCATCGTTTTTATTAAGGATGCGATCACCTCCTCTTATTTCTCGTAGTATATTCCCTTTTAAAACAAAGTTTTTTATAACTCTCTCAATCCGATCTTTACTAAGAGATGTGATTTTTAAGAATGCCGTCTTACAAACACGAATTTTTTTAGCAGAAATGGTTACATAATACAAAATGGATATTTTTTCCTTTCCCATTTTTGATCTTTTGCGCTTCTGGCCTTCACAAGTTGTTGCGTTCTGCACATACGATGACCTTAATATAACAATTAAGGTCATCCTGAAGGGGGAGAGATATTCTGTTCAATCTAGAACTCGCTGGTTTCCCCCTTTCGAAATGGGTATGCATATTTAACTAAAGAAAATAAATCAAAGCCAGTTGACTGTATAAAACTCTATTTTTAAAAGGTGTAAAATTAAACCTAAATATACATAACCAAATATACCATTATAATTAAAGAAGAATATATTACTTAAAGAAGAATAATATATTACAAACTTAACTATTAGCTACTAAGAAACACCAACAGACTCACCAAAAGACAACCATAAACTAACCAAAACAAAAATGTCGATTTTATAAAAAACCACTGACAAAACAAAAGACAAAACCTACCATAGCCTCAAACATACTATACATAAAAAGATAAAAGATAAATTAATAATCTTACAAAAAAATCAACATAAATAAGGATATAATATTTTAACGTTGTACAATTATTAAAACAAAACATACAAGAAATAAAACCAGTGTTAACAAAATACACAAAAAAATATACAATACAGTAAATAAACCGAAACAAATGCAAAATGTCCAATAAACAATGTTCAATCTCGATCGCGGCACAAATACGATGAAGTTCCAAATATCAAATAAATATACCAAGTGCACGTGATATAATATGGTGTATTGTTTCTTACCCCATGAAAAAGATAACCCCAATGCTATCGCAAATTATGTCTTCAGCGACAGTCCAACTACCAAAGTTTGTGATGCACATTAGCGTCTTTCTTGGCCGATGCGGAATCAGGTACTCTTCGTCTTCAACATACACATGTGCATCGGTTGAGAGATGCATTTCGACTCTTGTTTTGTATATAACGCAAACCCTTATTTTAGGTACACACACATGTGCTGATATTTCGCAGATGGCCCGCCTTGCAATCTTTAGCCCTTAAAACGGCTGTGTCACTTACACGAAAATCTGGTTTAAAATATACGAGGAGAATAGAAACTATTAAAAAGTCTGTTAATACATTTACAAATGTTTATATACAGTTGCGAAACTGCAATACAAGTTGTAATTATAAAACTATTTTGTCTACATATTTCCTTAGAAGCATACAGTTTTCTATGAAAATTTTGAATTTCGCTCATTGTTAAAGTGGTACAATAGTACGGCTTACCTGGCTGACCGTCATGTCCACAGGTCGGGTACTCCGGTAAATGTGTGCCTAAAATAACACAGTTTTAAGAAAATATTCTAACAAATTGATATCGTTTTTATTACCTTAATCTTTTGAGATTTTGTCTTTTACTTTCCGTCGGAATTTTCTTTCTACACATGTTCTTTGGAGTAGGTTGTATTGCAGAACTGACACTATCATTGGCTGCAGAAATTTCACTGTCTATTTTCATTTTAATAATTTTAAAAACGGAAAACTTTAAGTTAAACAACCAATTCAGAATACCGCTAAAACGCGACTGAGTCAAACGGTCAAACCACACCAGGAAACAAACAACATGCATGATGCCCTTCCCTAACCACGTGAGTAAAATTCGATGCTGTGATTGAACGCCGTACAAATAGAGAGTTTTGCATGGCACGCATCAATACATAAAGCGAGTTTTGCATCAAGTCATAATTTTTGGGACGGATTTTCGTGTGTTAAAAAGCTAGTTTTGCTCCAAATAATTGTATAACCCTTAAATGCCCAATCGGGGTCACTATGGGACCCCAGACATACATTTTTGGCTATAATATCTTTATTTAAAACATTTGGCAACCGCGCAATCAGGTATTTGTGTGGACGTGTCTCCTACGTTTTCTGTTAGTTAGTATACCACGAACATTCGTGAGGTGCAGTGGTCTGTAAGAGAGATTTAGATAAGTGGAGTCTCGCTGTGACCCGATTGGGCATTTAGAGGCACCAGAATATTTTTATTATTTTTAACATTTTTCGTCAGTTTACATTGAAAAATGGACCGTAAGAGAATGAAAATGACAATAAGCGACCAAGAACATGAAAAAATTATCCGAAATATAGAAGAAGGGATATCAGACTCCGATTTCGACTATGAGATTACCGACGGATCAGATAGTGAAGAGCAAGATGTTTTTGAGGAAAATGTTTCGGAAACTGAGGACAATTTAGAAGTCAACAGTGACGAGGAATCAGATGCAGAACCTACCGAAGTGGACGATAATATTAGTGAGGTTAGTGGTCCAACATATACATCCAAATCTGGAATGCAGTGGAATAGCCTACCTTTCGTGAGATCCAAGAGGCAACAAAAAATATTATAAATGTACATCCAGGCTTAACAAACTATAGTAAAAATTCCAACACGTTTTTAGACTATTTCAATTTATTTTTGACCGAAGAGATGAAGAATGTCATATGCCTTCATACTAATGAAGAAGCTGTTAGGCGTTATCAAGAGTGGAACGAAAAACATCCGAATAACAAAAAAGAGTGGACGGTACTTACCAAAAATGAACTGGATAGCTTTTTAGGAGCACTTATCAAAGCTGGTGCTTTAAGGTGTGGGAAAGAATCGACACGAGAGATATGGTCTACAGACACCTCAATACGCCGGTCATTTTTTACAGCCGCATTAGCTAGGAACCGATTTGAAGAATTATCGAGTTTCTTGAGGTTTGATGACAAAGTGACCAGGGTGGAGCGGAAGGAACAGGATAAGTTAGCGGCGATACGAGTAATTTGGGACATGTTCGTCTCTAACTGTGACAAAGCCTTTGAACCATACGAACATATAACCGTTGACGAACAGTTAGTGAGTTTTAGAGGAAAGTGTCCTTTTAGACAATATATAAAATCAAAACCTTGCCGCTATGGGATAAAAATTTGGGCTGCCGCGGATGTTAAAACATCTTATTTATCAAAACTTCAGGTGTACCTTGGAAAACTACCAGGTGGTAGAATAGAGAAAAATCAGGGATTTCGTGTTGTGAAAGATCTGGTGGAACCATATCATGGCAGTTGGAGAGGAATTACAACTGACAACTTTTTTACCAGTGTTCCTCTTGCGCAATATCTTTTATCTAAAAACCTTACTTTACTTGGGACCGTCCGCAAAAATAAACCTGATACACCACCACAACTAAGTTTGACAAAAAGACCTGCGGAGTCGTCAATATTTGCTTTTACTAAAGAATTAGCTATGGTTTCGTACATACCTAAAATACACAGTATGGTACATCTTCTTTCAAGTCAACACGATAGTGATATAATTTGTCAAGACTCTCAAAACAAACCCTTGATGATTTTAGACTATAATAATACCAAGGGTGGTGTTGATAATGCCGACAAACTGATTAGGGAATATTCCTGTAAAAGAAGAACTGCTCGTTGGCCATTCAGGCTCTTTATGAATATTATAGACATATGTGCACTAAATTCCTATATTTTATAGATTGAAAAAAATCCTGATTGGAAGAAAAATAATTTTTCACGAAGACGTATTTTCCTGTTACAATTAGGGGCTGAGCTTGCTCGAAACAACATGGAAAAAAGAGCGAAATATATAAAACATAAAGCCTATGTAAAATCTGCTCTAAAAGATTGTGGCATACCAATGGTAAACCCAACTACCAAAGTTGCAACTCAATCCGTCCATTCAGCTAAGAAACGTGCTCGTTGTTACCAGTGTCCGGGAAAAGACAGAAAAGTGAATACCGTTTGCTCTTTTTGCAAAAAATTTATATGCCAGGTGCACAGAAAAGAAGAAAAAACTATTGTATGTAAAAATTGCAACTAAAAGTTATATGCTTATATTATTATTTAATTTTAATTTTGTTCAAATTGAAAAGAATTTGTTTCTAGAAAAGCCGTTAATTTTGTATGAAAAATAAATAAAAATTATTCAAATATGCTTAAAATTATTTTTAACCGTGTTTTCCTTTTAGTCAGTGCTAAATGACGTTACTAAATTGAAAATTTTAGTGGGGTCCCTAGGAGACCCCACATGGGCATTTATGGTTATTTTCATATCACGGGCATTTAAGGGATAAAATAATAATTGAATATTTTACGAACAAGATGGAGTGCTTAACTATTTTTTTTTTAATGTTTGTCGATTAGCGAGTTTTGAATCTTGTGCACTCATTTATGGTCTGCGAGTCTACGACAAAATAAAAAATTTTGATAATTCTCTCATTTTATTTTTTTAAATTTCTACCTTTTCAGTATTTTCGTAGAAACTAAATACCATTCGTTTTTTTAATACAAAACTGTTTTTGAAATTTCTAAATAGCTGCTACATGGCCGTTTGTCCTGACAGACCCCACGCGATCAAATGTGTAATAATATTTGCACTAAATATAATGATGGATGTTTGTTGTTTTTCCAGATTAGTATTCATCTTTGACGAATGGATGGTCCTTGTGTGTGAAGGCATCGTCATATGCGCAGATTCTGCCATTGCAGTCGAAAGTGTTGAGAGCGGCACCATTATGGTTGGTGAGATTGAAGTCTTAGATGTCGAAGTTCTGTTGGATCCTGGACTTGGTCACGGATTTTGGAATGACGATCAATCCACTTTGGACGTTGTACCTCAAGACTACCTGAGCGAGTGTCTTGTTATATTTATCAGCGATCTTCTTGATTTTTGGATCTTCCAAAAGTTGTAGGTCACCAGGTTTGGCTCATGGCCTGTCGGGGGATCACAATGGATTGTAGGCTGTTACGACGATGTCTTTGGATTCGAGATAGCCGATGAGTTTTTGTTGGTTTAAGTATGGATGGATTTCAATCTGGTTGGTAGACCATCACTGTAGGCTGTGCTGCCATCGGCATTTACTGGGAAAAGGTCTCTGTCTTCCTTAAGAGCAAAAAGCCAGTGAATCAAGTACAAGTCCAAGTATTCCAGACCCAAGTTCTTCAATGTAGTCCTAACTGCTGGTTCTACCAAGTCGGGTCTGTGGAAACTGTTCCAGAGTTTGCTGGTGATGTAGATATCTTTGCGTTTGACTCTACCATCGGAAAGTTTGCCCTTCAAGGTAGCACCTACTTCTGGTTTGCTTCCGTAGACGTAGGCGCAATCGATGTGGCGGTAGCCGATGTCGAGGACATCTTTGACAGCTTGGGTAACCTCACCGGGCTTTGACTTCCATGTTCCTAGACCATGGGCGGGAAATATTTCTCCGTTGTTGAACTTGACATTTGGTACCTTGGCTAGGGATGGCGGTTTTTGGCAAAACACCGGTTTTCGGTTATACCGGTTTTTTTTGCTTACGGTTTAACCTGGCGGTTATAACCGGCCAAAAAAACCGGTTTTTCGAAAAACCGGTTTTCGGTTTTTTTAATCCAATAGGTTACAAAGTTACATTAACAATGAACTTTAGCTTGCGATACTTCATTCGACTCGATTTCAATATGATCAAAATTAGTACTATCGAAAGAACATTATTACCTATATAAATAAAACACGTTTATGCTTTAAATATGTGACGTAAGAACCAATAGTATCGCCTTCTATTATAAATATGCGGTTTAAATGTTAAAATGTTTACTAACGAAAGAATGAAAATGAAACTATTTAGAGTGATTATTGGTATGGCAATCGCAGAAACGCTGTTTAAAAGTTAAAGACCTTAAATAATTAGGTCGTATTATTCCAAACACCCATAATTCAAATTTTATGGGACCAAAGGCGGCTCACATCAGATCAGAATTTAATTTAGGTCATATACATAAAATACAAATATTTACCATATATACATAAAATTTTAAGAGAGGGTGAATGATTTATGATTACCAATACGTGCCGATACCCAATGATGTTAATTGTTATGGTTTAGGGATCAAATTACAATTACGAATTTCCGGGATTTCTCATTCTTTGTATTTAATTTTTAAACAATACAGGGAAGTATCAAATAAATTTTAATACAAACGTATTGAAAATAATATCAAATTTTTTGTGATCATAACAAATTTAAACGGTAGATTTCCGAATCGAAACAAACCTAATAACCTAATAACCGGTTTTTACTTTAAAAATAAAAAACCGGTTATAACCGGGACACAAAAACAACCGACAAAACCGGTTATTGCTAAGTAAAAAAACCGGTTTTCGGTTAAAACCGGTAGGTTTTTCCGATCCCTAACCTTGGCCATGATGAATGCTGTTCAACAAATTACGTAACGCCCTTCGCTCACTGTCGGACATTTCAATTGGAAAAGAAAGACCACAGTTCGGCTGGAGACGACGAAAATACATTGAACAATAGCAATTGAACGGTAGCTTCAAGCGTTGTTTCTGAAGAAACAGTTCATTCTACATAAAAAGTACTAATCAACATTGTCGTTCAAAATTATCTCAGCTACATTTTATGTTTGAAATACTTTTTTTTACGACGTACAGATTTTTGGTCAATCGATATTTTCTGTTGTCACCCCTATAAAGGGGGTTGTGGAAGGAAGTTCATGGGTAAGAGTGGCTAACACTTTCATCTTTTTGGAGTCTTAAAATTGGCATTATTAGTATAATTTTTAACTTCTATTTACTCTGCAATTTGTGTGGTTTAGTATTTACTTGCTATGTTGTTCGGCAATAATTCAAATGTAACCAGTTAGACTTTTTAATATCTAAAAAAAATCATTAGATTATTTCAAGGTACCTGCATACTTAAATCTCTTCTGGCATAATATATAATCTGCAATTTGTCCAACTTAAGCATTATAAATTTTCAAACTTGACATCTTAAAATCTTATAAATGGGGTGTCACATGATTTACTTTGTTATAAAACAAAAACCCTAAAAAATGTACGCCCCAGATCACTTGTATCTGGTTTAAATGAATGCTGCCGATGATATTAACAATAAAGAGCAGACATTGGTTGTTATAGTAGGAGGACCATACAATACTAAGAAATTATCATATTTTTTATGTGACAGTTAGTGGGTGGTTTGATTATACCAGCGATATATTTAGGAGCAAAAAAATCTACAATGTTTATGATATGACTGAACGACACAGTCATATACGAAAGTACATGGGATTTAAAGATAAAAATTTTAGAGGCACGGACATTAGAACATTGAATAATTTTCTTCTATCTTGTAGCCACAAAAAACATAATTTATGAAAAATTGGGTGCTATTGTATTGAAAATATCCATGGACTTTTCATATATAATGTTAATCTTTGTGAGCGAGATTCAAGTTTTGTTTATTTTAAAAGCATTTTACTTACTTAAACCTGTGATTTGTGTAATCAATAACAAAAATATTGTACCGTTTTTAAATAAAACGAGCGGTTCGAATTTATATAAATATATTTATTTATAACTTTACAGTTCGGTATTCTCTTATCAACTAAACTTAACTCCTAATTCCGTTACATATATATACCAAAGTATTATGTTCGAGAATATTCGAGACTAGTCCCACCTCTAATTCGTTATTATACGGGTGGAATTTTACAGCGCTCGAAATATCGCCGAAACTCTCGGTGCTTCGAGATGCGACCGTTAGGTAATCCACGCTAAATGTATGTTCGTAACACTGCTCCCCTCTTAGATCTGAGCGTCCCGATCAGGAACTCTATCTATAGGCCCAGGATGGCGGAATCTACAGGACTCTCCAGCTCTGCATGAACCCCTCAGAAAGAAATAACAGTCTACTGTCTTTGAAGGACACGATCTCTTCGGATTAATGCAACACACAGTAATTCTTACACCGGTTTCTCGGAAGATCACTTCAAGCATGCTTCTGACAATCTTCCAATCCAGATTATCTAGTGCATGGCCTATCTTGGGTAAAGCCAAGTTCTTAATGTCGTAATTGCAGACGATTTTCTTCAAATTAGTCAGAGCACGCCATATATCCTCGTAGCTTGCCCTGTCTGTATAAGACTTTCTGGTCACCATATACAACAAAGATCGAGAACCATCTTCTAATCTCAGCACTCTTCCAACTTTAGGCTGCTGGTTTTTTAACTCGTCCAAGCGACCAAATTTCTTATGAAATACGGATGAGATTCCTTTAGTCATCTCAAGATCTTGGGCAACACAGTGGGCTAGAGAGACGTTATGCGGAACACTAAAAAGATCCTGCTGAACTTCTGTCGTCACGCCGAATCTAGCATTCTTTCTCTCTGCGTAATTTGACATAAACTCCTTAAAGCTTGGTCGCCGTTTATCTTTGATCTCATGTTGAAGGGTTCGGACTTCTTCGGTTTCATTTGAGCCAGCATAAGGGGCAAGACGATTTATGTGAACTACTTTTGGTTTACCTTTCGGCAACTTCTTAATTCGGTATATTACGTCATTTATTCCCTTTTTAATTTCATATGGACCCTCCCATTGTCTTTGCAGTTTAGGAGACAAGCCACGACGACGTTGTGGATTATAAAGCCAAACAAGATCACCTACTTCATAGCTTTCATTCTTGCATCGAGAATCGTATTGATCTTTCATTCTGTCACTGGCTAACTGGATGTGTTGTCGGGCAAGTTCATGAATGCTGTTCATTCTTAACTTCAGACGATCGACATAATCTTCGCTTGCAACATGTTCTTCGGAAGGTCTGCAGCCAAACTCTAGGTCGCAGGGCAAACGAACTTCACGACCTAACATCAGGCAGGTTGGAGTCTGGCCTGTAGTTTCATTCACGGCAGAGCGGTATGCCATTAAGAATAAATGAATGTGCTGATCCCAATCTCTTTGATGTTTTGATACAACTTTGGACAGGTGTTTACCCATCGTTCGGTTCATCCTCTCGACCATTCCATCTGATTGAGGATGCAGGGGTGTCGTTCTGGTCTTATTGACACCAATCAATTTACAAACGTTTTGGAAAAGGTTTGACTCGAAGTTTCGCCCTTGGTCGGAGTGGATCTCCAAGGGAACACCAAATCGGCTAAAGAATTCTTTAACAAGTACCTCTGCAACGGTAGCAGCTTCTTGATTTGGTAACGCATAGGCCTCAGTCCATTTCGTAAAATAATCCATGGCTACCAGGATATATTTATTTCCATCATTCGTCTCTGGAAGTGGACCTGCAATGTCGATTGCTACTCTCTCCATAGGACTACCAACATTGTACTGTTTCACGGGTGCCCTCTTTTTACCAACTGGACCATTACTAGTTGCACGCAGTTCACATTTCCGGCACCATCTTCTTACATCATCTTTACAGTTCATCCAATAGAACCGTTCTCGAACCTTTTGCAGAGTCTTCATAATACCAAAGTGTCCACCTGATGCACCGTCATGCAACTGACGCAATACTTCGGACACTTTACTTTTAGGTACAATCAACTGAAGCTTAGTTTCTGTACCATCATCGTTCTCAAAGGTTCTATACAGAAGATCATCTTTCAGCACTAGGAAATTCCATTGGCTCCAGTAACACTTGACTTCGGGACTACATGCACTAATGTCTTGCCAAGAAGGTCTTTCACTTCGACGCACCCAATCCAATACTCTTTTTATACATGGATCATCTGCTTGGGCGTCTTGTAGCTGTTGAGGCTGCCATTGGTCATTAATAACGGTGGTTCGCCTAACGGGGCAAAATCGTTCTTCTAATTCAAGACAATGATTACGATTTGCACTGTATGGCCGTCTTGATTGAACATCAGCATTTGAATGACTTTTTCCAGCCCAGTGCTCGATCTGTTCTAGCTTTCTGACTGCTGTATTATTTTCTTGCACTTTGTGGCGAATGTGATCTTCGTTGTTACCATTCCAACATCTGGGTTCACGTTTCTTCGGCATCATGTTACGAACTACTTTCCGTACGATTTCCTCTAGACGTTTATCGTTTCGTTCGTCACTTTCTTCAGAGGTTCATACTTGATAGCTTCGTGAAACTCGACTAGCTATCTCATGTTCCAAGGCAATGGCGAGCGCTTCATCTAAAACCTTCGGTCTTGCTAGTCGTAAAGCTTTCTGTAGTTCACTGTCTCTCAACCCATTGACGAAGGCATCTACAGCAATTTCTTCCAAAATGTTGTCTGGTACCTCTGGATAGGCCAACAGCGCTATACGAGCAATATCTGCTTCAAATTCTTGCAAACTCTCACTTGCTCGTTGAATTCTACTTCTTATTTGTACTTTGTAGACTTGTTGTAGATGGGCATCTCCGTAACGTTTGTCTAGTCGAGTGAACAAGGTCTGGTAACATTTTTCTTGACCCTTAGGAATCGATCTTAAGATATCTGCAGCATCACCTCGTAAAGCAGCAGTCAAGGAAACAGCTTTTTCTTGTTCTGTCCAATGACTGGCTGTCGCAATAGCTTCAAATTGTCTAAGGTATATGGACCAAGAGGACTTTCCATCAAATGGTGGCAATTTGAATCTCATATGATGTGTCATTTCGTCTCTAGGTGATTCTTCTTTCACTACCGGTTCTAAGGCTACCGTATTAACGGGTGGTAGCACTTTCGTATTAGTTATCATGGTCTCTAATTGTTTGATCTTCTCTTCTACGCTGTTTACATTTTTCTGCATCTGATCAAATGTTCTTGAGACTTCTTCAAATTTCTCATTGTTTTGATTACATATTTCTTTAATTATTTGAGAAGTCTCGTCGAATCTTCTAGCAACATTTTCAAATTTCTCGTCATTTTGTCTAGCTGCTTCTTTAATAATTTGAGATGTTTCATCGAATCTTTTGGAAACATTCTCATCATTTTTTCTAGAACTTTCTTCGATCTTCATTAAAACTGCTTCTTCTGCTGATTGAAAATGGAATGTCTCTGGGTCATCTCCATTCTTTTTGAGAACAGTTTTCAGTCGTTCTTGTAGTATCTTCTTGGACCCGCTGCAGTCTTCATCACGTTCTTCTAGTTGCTCACGCAACTGTTTCACTGAAAGTTCTACTAGCAGCATCTTTGGTCAGGCACACACGTACTTTTTGAAATGTTCTTTCGTACAACGTTCACTACCGAACTACGCGGATGTTCCCGACGAACAATACTTTTCAAAAGTTCAAAAGTCTTTTTCAAAAATTCAAGTCTTTTTCAAAAAATCACTGTTGCATTTATATTCAAATCTCACACCGACACCAACTGTACCGTTTTTAAATAAAACGAGCGGTTCGAATTTATATAAATATATTTATTTATAACTTTACAGTTCGGTATTCTCTTATCAACTAAACTTAACTCCTAATTCCGTTACATATATATACCAAAGTATTATGTTCGAGAATATTCGAG